TTAAATGGGCGGGCTACGGGTTGACTCCCAGGCTGCCCAACCCGCCTGTTACTCACCTCTACTAAAATTTTATCCAAATTTTTATGTAAAGAAGTCAAACTTCAGAGCACAAATATTTATTCAAATTTCAATGATATGAATTAATTTATTCATTTCCGGACCAAAACAAAATTGAATAAAACTAATTCCCTCTGACTTAATACCTAAGTAAGTGTACTCCTTCATTAATTAAAAATAAAATTTACAATAATTTATTTTATTTTTAAGTCATAAAATAGTATTGATTATTCTATTAAGTTGCATGCCACTCATGGAGCCCATATAGGATTTGTTTTGTTTGCAAACATTTTTAAAATAAAAAAAAAATCACCGAGCCATTGGCCTTCAATATTTTCGTACGTAATTGTGTCCAGTTTTTTTCCTAACACCTACTAACTTTAGAAGGATCTGAATATATGATAGATGATAAAAAAATCTTTTGCCAAAGAAAATTGAAAGAGATGATAAGAGTGAAAGCTCCGGTGAAATTATTAATGAGTAAAGGACTGAAACTGAGTATAATTTGAAGCGAAGACTTTTAAAAGCGTTATGTGAACAAGGCAATCTCTTCAACATGTCACATACATTTTTTTTTAATTTAATTTTTCAATCACCTTTTTACCGGAAAAAAAGTTAAATAAAGTAAAATACAATGCCATCACCAACAAGCTGTTGGTTGAGGTGGTAGCGGCCTCACCTCCGTAAGGAGGAGAACACAAATTCAAATCTTAGGAAGCATACTTGTTGAGAGGGCTATTCCTTAACCGCTCTAGGCCCGGAAAGAATTAGTCTCAAGTCCAATATAACTTAGGGATATCCTTGTTTCATCCAAAAAGAAAAATACAATGACATCCTTTCTCTAATTTACTCTATTTTCAAAAGAAACACTCTATAGTCCAATTTTTAATACCGTGAAGAATATTTCATTAAAGATTCCAAGATACTTAATTTTACCATTTGTCATTATGTAAACATTTTAAATTTATTAATCTGAACCTACAATCTGTTTTTTTTTTAACGCATAAGTATCCTCTTATTAGAGATAATCCTATTTGTAGCTTTGCACTTGTTATAAAAAAAAAAGATAATCCTATTTGAGGCACTGTCTGGCACTAAATATAGACCTTCTCTCAGTGGAGATTTGAACATTAGTTTGTCACATTATGAAGGACTAGTCTCTTCCACTAAACCCGACCTTATTGGTTGACCTTATAATCTAATTGTGTCTTCTTTGTTGTATTTTTTAAAATCTTTGATGTTTTGAAAAGTTATATGCAATTTTTTTTTTTGAAAAGTAGATGTAAACTTAAATTTTAGGTCACACTCAAAGATTTGCAAATTTTCTATCTTAGCTCCAAAAACTTTCTACTTAAAACAGACTTTATGATGCAAAAATGAATATTTATTTCAAGATATTATATATATATATAGCTGAAATCAAGATATAGAGAATACATTAATTTGATCATTTTATAGCTAAAATAAAAAAAAAAATTGCTTTATGTGTGAATTATTTGCAAACACTCTAGTTCGAAATTAAAAACATCCCCAAAACAATCGTTTCAAGATTTATATGATTGTGTGCAGTTTCTCTGTAACGCCATATGTCATGTTGTTATGGTATGAATTGAACATAAAAGGTCTAAATAATAATTCATAGGATATTTTTCTTATTTTAAAGGCTCAAAGTTGTATTCGATGAAAACCCCTAATTGAATGGAAAAAAAATCATTTAATTTATTGCTTAAGAGACTTTTATCTTTGAAGTGTTCAAACAATTTGGTTGTGGAAATTGAATACAAAGGGAAAATGATATGAAAATAGATGTATTAATATTCCAATTTTTTTTTGGGAAAGATGGGAATACTTAGAATTATTAGAAAACTTGACCATAAAAAATATATAGTTATAGAATTTTTTATCCATTTTTTATTTTTTCAGTTTTTCTCATAAACAATTTATTTGTAATTATTTTCATTTTTCACAACTTATATATGTACGTCGTGATCGTGTAATCCAACAAAAGATTTAATTGAATTAATTCAGCTCAAATAAATCATGATGACAGGTTCATTTTGAAAATTTCATTTGCTTTGTTATTTCAACGTACAATGTAATTTGAATTTTAGAGCTCTGATTTTGTGGTGTGCTTGGAGTAAGGATAATGAATGAATGCAAACTTTCTACAGTAATTTTTCATGCAAACCTACATTATACTCCTCTGGTCTTTAATATAAGGGAAAACCATATTGGAGGTACCTATACTTTTTTTTAACTTTCAATTTGGTACCTATGTGTTTTTTGTTTTTAACTAAATCTTTATTTTTCCTCTATTAACATCATTAATCCTTATGTAGAGACTAAAAAAATCAATAGAACAAAGTTACAAGAGTTAATGTTGCTAAAAAGATAAAATTAAATGTTTAATTAAAGAGAAAAAAACACATAGGTACCAAATTAAAATTGAGAGAAAGTATAGGGACCTTCAATATGGTTTTCCCTTAATATAAAACCCATTTAACTAATTTAATTGGATTGAGGAAGTTAAGTATGTTAGTTAATTATAAAAAATATAATATGTTTTTTTTCTAAAACACCATAATTATCTTTCTTAATATCTTTCTTTTTTTTACCTGATTATGGTTGAAGGAGTATCCATAAGGATAAATATGAAAAAGAAGTCTTATATTTAAAATCAAAATGAACTCAACAATTAAGTTTTGTATTAAGGACCAGACGAGTATAATGTATTCAAATTAAACACAGTTCAAGAAAACATAAATGATATAATCTAGACGCCAGTCAAATATTTTGCATGTAGGATCAATTTTTCTTTGAACCTGTTAAAGCCTGAATTTATATTAAATTTTAGCTAAGGTATTTAGTTTTGTTATGAATGTACGTGTCGTGTATTTGGAAGGCATGTGAACAGGAAGGAAAGGAGTAATCCGCAAGCAATAAATAAGCTAAATAGAATTACGGCAAAAAAAGAAAAGGAAGCTAAAAGGAATAAAAAGGAAAAGTTGGAGTCCGAACGGAATTATTTTGATTTTTTTGGGTTATATTAAATTTTATAAGAAAAGGTTTATTATTTTCCGGTCATACTAAAATTTTGTCCAATTTCTTATCCAAGAAAATAAAACTTCAGAGCAAAATATTTATTCAAATTTCGATTATCTGAATTAATTCATTCACTTCTGGACTAAAACAAAAATAAATAAAATTAATTCGCTTTGAGTTCATTACGTGAGTGCGTGTTTGTATACTCCTTGTACTCCTTTTATAATTAATAACAATATAAAATATAAAATTTGTCATAAGTTATTTTATTTATAAGTCATAAAATAGTGATGATTATTCTTTGAGCTCCATGCCATTCATGAAGCCCATATAGGATTTGTTTTGTTTGCAAACATTTTAAAAATAAAATGAAATCGCTGAGCTATTAGCCTTCAATATTTTTACACATAATTGTCTCCAGTTTTTCCCTAACACCTGCTAACTTTAAAAGGATCTAAATATATAATATATTGTATCTGTGGTATTTTCTTATTCATGACACGATTTTCTATTGAACAGACGGGAAGGCTTGGAAATATTAGTAGACATGACAATAAGAAATATCATGTGGTTATCAATTTTTTAAGGCATTTAAGTTTTTGTTTACTTTAGATTTTCCAATATATTTGTGCGCGTCTATATACATTCACACACACACACACACATATAATGTAAAGACTTCATTAAGGCCATCATACTCGAACTCACTTACCACAATGGCTAGATTCACTTCATAGATTTCCTCTGTTTTGTTGTTTCTGGTATTTACAACAACATTAAACAGGGTGATGAGTTGCAATGAAAATGATGAAAGGTTGCTTTTAATCTTCAAACAAGGAGTGGTTGATCCAGACAACAAACTCTCTTCTTGGACTGCTGAAGAAGATTGCTGTTTATGGGAGGGAGTTCACTGTGACATCACCACAGGAAAAGCCACAGAGCTTTCTCTTTTCAATCACACATTGCGAGGTGACATTAATTTGTATGTGCTTCAACTTGAATTCCTCAATTACTTGGACTTGAGCCTCAATGACTTCAACACTGTGAGTATGCCACCATGTCAAATCTCCAAATCTCCCTTTGATGCTCACAAATTTCCCAACCAATCACTTGCTGCTCCTTCCAATCACTCAGCAAGTTTCTCTGTCGCTCTGCGTTATCTTAATTTTTCATGTACTGGTGTTTTAGTAAAAGACCTTCATTGGCTTTCTCAACTTTCTTACTTAAAATATCTTGACCTTAGTTTAACTGATATTGGAGATGATATCAAATGGCTCCAGCATATAGCCATGCTTCCTGCACTCTCTGAGTTACACTTAACTTATTGTGGACTTGGAGATTTTCCATCCCTTGATTATATCAATCTTACCTCACTTGAAGTTCTTGATCTTTTTTTGAATGATTATATGAACTCAAAGTTACCTAATTCATTTTTTAATATCATCCATCACATCCATCATCTTTAGCTTAGTGATTGCAATTTCCATGGCCAATTACCAAAGTCCTTGCTCAATCTAAAGAACCTCAAGTTTTTAGATTTTTATCATAATCATCTTGAAGGATTAATTCCAGATTGGTTCGGTCAATATGAACAGTTGCAATACTTGGACATCGGAAGTAATTTGTTCCATGGTGTAATTCCATCATCTCTTGGAAATATTTCTTCCTTGTTCCGCTTAGACTTGCACAACAATCAATTGAAAGGCAATCTTCCAGAAACCTTGGGACAACTCCATAACTTAATTCAATTAGACATTATGCAAAATTTCCTGGTTGGTGTTCTAATAGAAAATTTTTTTGCTAGTCTCTCAAGTTTAAAATCATTGGGCTTAAGTTCAAATAGTTTCAAATATGACTTTGATCCTAAATGGGTACCACCATTTGAACTTGAGACATTGTATATGGGTAACACAAGCATAGGTCCTAATGTTCCACCATGGCTATATACACAACAGTCTTTAAGGATACTAGATATTTATGGATCAGGGATTTCAACAATTGATAAAGATATATTTTGGAACTTTGTAGTAGGAATAGAAGATGTTGATATCTCAAATAACTTAATTAGTGATGACATATCCGGTGTCACACTATCAGCAAATGTCTCTCATTTTCATGCGTCCGACAACTTGTTATCGGGATCTATTTTGTCATTATTGTGCCAATTAGAGGGTAACGGAGAAAGCAAGTTGGTTCAATTGGACTTGTCATATAATCATTTGAGTGGAGCACTTCCTCATTGTTGGACCAATCGAAAATCATTGGAATTCCTTAGTTTGGGGAGTAACAAGCTAATAGGTAAAGTTCCTCCCTCGTTTGCTTCATTGGGACTCCAACTGTTGGATTTGAGTGATAATAGTTTCTCTAGTGAATTTTCATCAAGCATGCTTAATTGGACAAATTTAAAATTCCTCATTTTAGAGAAAAATAATTTTTCTGGAAGTTTGCCAAATCTGTATATGGCACGACATTTGGAAGTTCTTAAATTAAGGACCAACCAATTTATGGGTAACATTCCACTAGGAATATGCATGCTCTTTTCTTTGCGGATACTAGAGCTTGCTGATAATAAGCTTTTTAGATCTATACCTTCTTGCTTATGCAACATCACAAATCCAAATAACATCGACGCACAATTGGATCTTGGTGAAATGATGCGCATATTTACAAAGGGAAGGGAGTTAGACCACCAACCTTATGCATATTTTAGAAGTGGTGTTATTGATCTTTCTGCTAATAGCTTATCTGGAGAAATTCCTAAAGAATTGTTCAGTATTACTCTACTGTGGTCCTTAAACATCTCTCGAAACCATTTGACTGGAAAGATTCCTAAAGAAATTGGAGCCCTGAAAAACTTGGAATCTCTAGATCTCAGCCACAACAGATTTTCTGGAGAAATTCCTTCTACCATATCTAATTTGTCTTTTCTTGCTTGTTTGAACCTCTCATACAACAATCTCATCAGACAAATTCCACTAGGAACCCAAATTCAAGGTTTTGATTCCTGGAGTTCTGTTGGCAATCGTGAACTTTGTGGAGATCCTCTTCCAAAGAAGTGCAACAAAAAAGAAGAAACTCATGACGACTCAAAGCCAGTTGAAGGAGATGAAGACGACGGCTTTCTGAAGTCATTGTATCTGGGTATGGGAGTTGGATTTGCGGCGGGCTTCTGGGGAATTTGTGGTTCTCTCTTCCTCATCAGAGCATGGAGACACAGATTTTTCCGATGGTTTGATCACTTGACAAATTAATTTTATGTTGCCTTCACCCTCTGGTTCAAAAGATTCGGTCGAATATAAAAAACATATCTCTCTTGAGGTAATAAATTAGCCACGCCTTAATATTTCAAGTATTGTTAGTATTTTCCTCTTTCCTTAATTTCTTCTATTTCCTGAAAAAATTCTGTTCTTAGCTGATTATGTTTTATCTTGTTTGTTTTTCAATATGGGATGCAAGTGAAACAGCTATCACTACTCTGTTTGTTCCTCTGATTCAGATACTGAGTTCTGCCTCAAGGAATAAGCAGCTTTGCTGCTGTTTCGCATGGTCAAGGACTCTAATAATGTAGCCTACTGAACGTCCTTTTGTTATGTTAAATTTAGTGAATTATGGGAAGAGAACATTTTATAATAATAGTTATTTGTGTGTCTGTGTGTCTCATGTTGTTGAGGAACCTTTGACGAATAGTCTTGAATGTGATATTAGGCGTCTATATTTAAGATTTCAGGTGTGAATGTAGCAATCAAAACGAGAAGGCATGTGAGTGTTGTAACCTGTAAGATAAGATTTATATGTATGTTAACATGTTGGATATTAATCTGTAACTTGCTACAGTGAGTAGCTATTAGTTTGTGGAAGATAAGAGGATCTTATAACATTCTGATTTGAAGCTTCAGATGCTATGTTCCATTGTGGTTTATACGAGTAGCTCGAAATAACAGAGTCATGCCTTGTTCAGGCTAGATATTCAAATAACATCTCAGTTGCTCCTCTGCTATATTTTATTTTGTAGTGTAATTTACACTATAAAATGAGTTTTATATTTAACTTTTCCTCATCAGAGCATGGAGACACAAATTTTTTGAACTGTTTCATCTTCTGGTGGATCGACTTTATGTTATCGTGGCCCTCAAGTTGAAAAAAGCTTCCAATGGATATTAAAATTACATGCACGTTGCTGTTGAGGCAATTAACCGATCTGAGATCACACACACACACACACACACACACACACATATATATTAGCATGGTTTTATTTTCGTTTTCGCCTTGTTCTTGCCGCAAACAAATTCAGTTCTTATCTGCTTCGTAGTAGATTCCAATGACTTCCTCTTAAATTCATTCAAATCTCATATTTTGTTTGGGGGAATAGAGAGGTTTGCTGCAGCTATACATGGCCCAAGGTCTCCAACGTTTCCTACAGATTGTCATATCTCCACTTTATAGTAAAGTAGTTATCAGGGTATGTTTGTGTTGTCATGTCTCAGAAAAGCCTTTTGTTGAGTGGTTTTCCGAGTCATGTATTGTTGTGCTTTAAGACTTTGATCATTTTCTATTTCAATAATGAAAGATTCAAGTATGCTTTTGGAATTGATAATAAATTTTTATTTTCGATGTTGAAGACATCAAAAACTGAATCTTGCAACGCACTGAATCGGCATGAAGCAGCTGGCCAAGAGGATCTGTCTCGACACTTGAGATGCTCTGTTCCATTGTGTTTGAAATAACAGAGTCATGCTTTGGTTAGGTTACATAATCAAATAATATAATCTCTCCACTACTAAACATAATAAACATTAAATAGCAAAGTTGGCTCAAATCAGATGCCTTCGTTATGTTTCTAAACTACACTCACAATGAATTATTGGGGCGCAATGCCTTGCTTCTTCAATAATTATTTATATTCTTACCTTACACCAAGCGGCTAAAATTGCCATGCAGTTAAAATTGTAACAGTCAAGAATGAAGGATGTGGGTTTGTAAATGAACATTGGTGAGATGGGCAAAAAAGAAGATGCTTATCTTACCTCCGATTCTAATTATAAAATTCACTTTGTAGTGTAAGTTCGACTACAAAAAGAATCTTATAATTAGAAAATGAGAAAGTAGTTAAGAAGCTCCTCCATGTGGGTTCCATCCATTGATTTGTTATGAAGAGGGAATTCATTCGTGTAATATCAAAATTGCATCATTCAGAGGTTCTTTAGCTTTTTTCCCCTTAATAATTAGATCAGTTACATACGCATATAGAATGAAGGAAATTATACTAATAAAGAGTTGGTCTAGTAATAAGGTCTTTCTAGATCTCTTTGGATTCGAGTCATAAAGGAGACACTTCTATAAATAGGGGAAGCCTACTTATAAATTACTAATGGTAATGAATGAAACATCGTATTGTTTGGTTGTTGGGTGTTCCATGGTTTAATTAAATTTTTAGGATTTTCCAGCAATTATCTTCATCAATGCAACCTTTGAATGACTTTTCTCAAGAGTCAGGAGCTGCCATTGCTTTTCAATTATTTTACAGTTTTGTTTTTCAGTGTAGGTTTTTGTTATTAAAGAAGGGACCCGAAGAGGATTTTACATCATGAACCATATAGCATGTGAGGCATTTTTTTCCTCCCGTATTTTAAGTCGGTCCTCTTCTATGTTCAGAAAAAAAATTACAATATGAAAAGAAAAGCATGAAAATATAAATTCCATCAATGACTGTGTTGATTAGGATAATTAATATATCCAATTTTAATATAAAAACTACTTAACTAATTTGATTTAATTAAAAAAGTCAAATAAATTAGTTTATCATAATAACAAATATCCTGTAAAATATCGAATTATAAGTTAGAAAAATTAATTGGAAGAATAATAATAAATATAAGAGATAAAATAGATTAAGATCTATAGTCGACCTCCAAACTAGTTTTTATGCTAATGTAAAAATTCTCTTTAATCTAAAATTAATGTAAGCTTAACAATCAACATTAATGTGGCCAAACAAGGGGCGATACTGCAGTGATTTTGACTCTTAATTAGCAGGCAATATAAAAGTTATTTGATTTATTTGAATATATTAAAGAAGTTAGTTGAGTTAGTTATTTATAATAAAAAGGTGTTATTTTTTTAAAATATATTTGCTAATCAAATGTATTAGTTAGAACTATTATCATCATAAGGACTATCTTAAAAAAATAGATAAATATAAGAGACAAAGTAGATTAAGATTTTAGATTTGTAACCAAACTAAAAGTCAAATTAGGACTACCTTAAAAAAATGGATAAATATGATAAATAAAGTGGATTGAGATTTTATATTTATAACCAGAATAAAAGTCAAATAAACTCCTATATTAAGGATCGAAAATATTAATTTGTACTAATAATTAGTGCTACTCCCGAAATAGTCGAAAGGCAAATGCCCTTTCATCCTTAAAATAATTAGAGAGGACATGAAAGAAAAAAACAGAAGTAAATTACGCGCCGAGGGGAAAAATTCATGTTATTGGGATAGTATAGTTGACTTCTTCCAGAACTTCCTTAATTAATTATTAATATTAATGAATGAAACATCGTATTCTTTGGTCATTGCGTGTTTTCGCAACCCACTGAAGCTAATTAACTTTCAAGACCTTCCTGGCAATTTTTAACATTAACTTTAGTTTAGCTTTGGAATTACTTTTCTCAAGTGATGGAAGCTGCCATTAAAAAAATTAGAAGACGATGAAAAAGAAATTAACAGTATTTGGGCACAGCACAAAGTGGAAGTCATCATATACCATCCCACTAAGATGATGAAATAATTTTTTTCCCACCAGCTTGAATTTATTTTCCATCTCTTTTTCCCTTTTCTTCTTATTGTCTTTTTTTAATGGATTGTTGAAAAACAACGGCAGCTCCGGTCTCCTGAGAAAAGCCATTAATTCAAAAGCTAAATTAATGCTAAAAATTATAGTGCTGAAAAAAATCCTAAAACTTAATTGACTTCACCAAACGGTGGGTTGGGGAAACACGCCACGGCCAAACAATATGATGTTTCGTTCATGAACTAATAATAATAATAATAATAATTAATCATTAATTAAGAATGTTCAGCTAAAAGGTTAAGGACGTCACCAAAAACAAATTAAAGTGAATGTCTAAAAATCTTTGAAAATTCTGGAAATACTTATTATAAGAGACAATTATGAATTATGTCATGGTCCTTTTTACAAGAGATTCTTAGAGGCTATCTCAAATTTTATTTGTTGATTTCTTATTTTACCTCCATTTAATTACTCATATTACTTACTCATCTGATCTTATTTATAAGGTACTTCCAACATATTTCACAAAGACCAAGAAAAACCTTAAACTGCATTAATTCTTCATTAAAATATAGTAACTTTTCAACTTTACTTATGTTTAACATATACTCCTTTGAAAAAGAACTATTTATACCATAATAAATGAAGGATAATATGATATATTAATGGTAAAAATTTAATAAAGTAACTTATAAATAAGAAGAAAAAAACTTCTCTCTCTGCCCTATAAAGAGCACCAGAAGAGTATACCATTACATTTAATACCCACACATTCCCTCTCCCACACATTATCTCTATTTCACATAAATAAGGGTATTTTTGACAAGAAGGTTACACTTTTTACATATTTATTATCTTCAGCTAATTTTAACTAACATTTTGAATTATATAATTGTCTCTTATAAAAAAGAATGGAAGGAGTAATGGAAAGCAAAGGGGGCGGTTAGGACGCTGGGTTTCAATCCACTCGCCCTTCCTTGTGCACGAATCAAATGCAAAATTGGGCACCTTTATTGAAAAATATCTATCCAATTAATATCTCATTTTATACAATTATGTCTCTTTAATGTTTGTAATCGAAGGTTTTGCTCATCCTAAATAATTATTAAACAAGTTAATGACTACTTAAAACTGACTATTTAATTGTGTTTATGATTGTCGTAATGTGCATTAAACTCGTTTAAGTGTGGCCATTACTAATGTGCGACTTACAAAAGAGGCATGAGACTAAAGTTCATGGGACCTGTTGTTTTGAGCTTTAGGCAACTCTTTTCCCTCTTTCGTGTTTTGTATTGCTAAGTTATTTTATCTTTTGTTATTCTATTTATTCTATTTTTATAAAAAGAATCCGTTTAATATTGAGAAGTACCGCTTCTTGCTTTGCCGATAATGACATGATAGCTCTTAATGATAGTGTTTATAAGACACGGTTTGAATTAACGAGTTATTTG